ACATTAACTTCAATGAAACCTTTAGCCCAGTTGTCCAGCCCACTACTATTGGAGTTTTCTTGTGTCTTGCTCTTAATCATGGATGGAAAGTTAGATAGCTCGACATCAATAATGCCTTTTTGCAAAGCAATATTGATGAAAAAACTTTACATGTGTCAAGTGTCAACCACTAAGGTTTGGAGTTCCCAGCTTTACCACTTTGGTTTGCAGACTAAAAAAGTACTTTATGGTCTTAAATAGGCATCTCCGCATGGTCTCACAAACTTAATTCTATTTTACATGGCCTTGGTTTCATTCGTCCTACATGTGATAACTCTCTCTATGCGAAGCATGATTCTACATCCACCATATGTCTTATGGTCTACATTGATGATATTTTGGTCACGTGTAGCAATGGTGTTGCAGTTTAGGCTATCATCACTCAACTTGGTCTATACTTTTCTCTCAAGGACCTTGGTGAAATTCACCACTTTCTAGGTGTTGAAGTTAAAAGATCTTCACAAGGCTTGTTCAAAGGTCTACTTTAGAAAATGAATGTGCTTGAAGAAAACCTATTACCACTCCAATGATCACATGTCATGTCTTATCTTAGACTGATAGTTCTCTAATCAAGGATGTCACAACCTACATGAGCATGGTACGATCTTTGCAATATGCAACTATTACAAGGACAAATACTACTTACGGTGTGAACAAGGTCTACCAATTCTACATGCAATGTCCACTTGATTCCCATCTCATAGCTGTTAAAAGGATCCTTATGTATTTTGCAGGCACTTTATCCTTTGGTCTACAATATTCCAAACATTCCAGCCTAACTCTTACTGGCTTTTGTGACACTGACTGGGGAGTTGATTTAGATGACAGAAAATCTATCACTGGCATATGCATTTACCTTGGTAAGAATCTAGTCACTTGGTGCTCAAAGAAGCAGATTTCTATTTCAAGATCCAACACAAAAGCTGAGTATAGAAGCATAGCACATCCATCAGCTGAGCTCACCTGGATCAAGTCCTTACATGGTGAGCTAAGAGCTACACCATCACAAACTCCCATTGGTTGGGTGGAACCTAAGTGATATCTTGTTTAGCATATATATGATGGGCAAAGGATAACCGAGTTACCCGACTCGGGTCGATC